GTATTACATTACATTTCTAAGTATACTAGATTTGTGTTTCTATTTCATTTATACCTGATGATCGCTTGTGTTGCAATCGAAACGTCGTATGCTAGTATTTAATTGATTATTTTCTCTTGATACGTGACTTTACCGAAAGAACCAAAGCGTAGTCTATCACAAAAAAGTGTATTGCTGGTCGGGTATCTGTGTCCCACGGACGAAAAGATGGCTTGAGGGAAGGATATTTAACAGATGTCTCAATACCCCCCCCCCTGCCCACAACAAACGACAAAGCAGAGTTGGCCTTTTGTGAACAAAGAGCCTGATGACTCAGCTGTGACTCCAGTTTCGTGATGAAGACACCCCCCTTTCCAGGTTAATTATGGCAGAGGCCGAGCGGACGGTCTGGGACGGCTGCTTCGCTTGAAGAACTTTATACTGGTAGGAACGAAGTGGACCAGCCTACAATAGATTATTTCGTCCGTCCGTCCGATGTCCGATTACGTGTAGCAACATCGCCCCCTACTGAAAACACTTGGCATGACCCTACAAAAACCTTTAGACTCTGTGAGGCTTTCCTGGCTAAACAAGTGTAACATTCCCTTATAATTCCCTCAGATAGCTTGTAATTAAAACATTTCAATTAATGAGGCTTTCCTGGCTAAACACGTGTAACATTCCCTTATTATTCCCTGAGATAGCTTTAAATTAAAACTTTGAAATTAAATAAAAAAACTCACAGCGCCCTAAAGCCTACAGCTAGGCCTAAAGCCTAGAACTAGGCCTCAAAGTCTCCCTTCATATCGTATCCCCGCGTGTGTGCAAGGGAGTTAATGTTTAACTATGTTACATTCCCTGATGCTTTTAAATAGAAACATTTAAATTTAAAGCTTTTACATAAATAATAAAAACATTTAAATTTAAAATTAACTCACGGCGGCCTAAAGCCTAGAGCTAGGCCTAAAGCCTAGAACTAGGCCTCCAACTCTCCCTTCGTATCGTACCCCCGCGTGTGTGAAAGGGAGTTAATGTTTAACAATGTTACATTCCCTTATGTTTTCAATAGAAACATTTACATTTAAAGCTTTTACATAAATAATTAAAACATTTAAATTAAAAATTAACTCACAGCGGCCTAACGCCTACAGCTAGGCCTAAAGCCTACAGCTAGGCCTAAAGCCTAGACCTAGGCCTCACACTCTCCCTTCGTATCGTCCGATTCGGTGTAGCAACATCGCCCCCTACTGCAAACACTTGGCAGGACCCTACAAAAACCTTTAGACTCAGTGGGGCTTTCCTGGCTAAACAAGTGTAATAATACATTATCTTTATATTCTTTGGATATACGTTCCTACCAGCCCATCCCGCAGGGTCCTGTTTATTCCAATAAATCGAACACACACGGACACGCACACGCAGCTGTGTCCACACACAAGCGAACGAAAAAAATATGATTCCGGCCCCTTTGAAGGCAGGCGTGACTAGCAGAGACATTTTCCAGATATAAGAGAGACACAGCCATACATAGAGCATCTCATCTCATCACCGGAGCCGGAGGAGATCTCATCATCATCACCTCCAACGGAGGCGCTCTCTCATCATCCAAGATGGCGATGCTCGCTCAGTAGCGACGTGCTAAGCCAAACAGGGGTCTGCACCACCGAAGAATTGTCGCTACACCGAGCCGCCGAGGTGCGAGTGAAACTGACGGAGATTTCAGTTATCATTCTCGGGCAATAGCGAAGACACCCAACGTCAACCCAACGTCAACCCAGCAACGAACGAGAGTATCGTTCATCGCCAGAGCACCCGTAGGCGGCGAGCGCGCACAGCCGCTTCGTCCAGTGCCCCGAGCACAAAGGTGCCAGCCACCAGCGAACGAGCACCGCCGCGCCGCCAGCGCTACAGAGTACCAGCCTGCCAGCGCCAAGCGCAGCCAAGCGCCGCCGGGCACCACCGGGGCCACCGGGCGCCACCGGGCGCCACCTAGTGACCGAGCCTCTCCAAGGACAGCATCGGGCCGACGCCACTCATCTAGCAGCGGAGAGAGAAAGCCGGCGGCTCACTGCAGACACGCCACGTGTGAGAGGAAACTCCAAGCCGTTCGTATCCCCTCCCTCACACTCACAAACTCACGACGGCGTCTGTTTAAATACGACAATTTACCAAGGAGACAATCCCACACACCCACACAATGGAATCAACCCTAGCCAATCATAAGAAGACTAATTATAAAAGTATGAATCATCAGCTGGCCATGAAGGCATCGCCTGCTTATCGCGTGATTATAATACGTCGGTTATAAGTGCATTAGTCGTTTTCTTTTATTTTGTTTTTTTATTCGCATATACGACCAATAGATTCGTCGATGCAAACTAAACTCTTGAAATCCTCATCACGAATCTACATGTTTACAGAGAGAGAATATCGTGTCAAACCTGTTCCTTTGTCATAGAATCTCGCTTAAGAATTAATTAAAGCTGAGCCAGAGATACGATCTCCCATAAAGAACACACACACACACACACGCCTTCGCACCCCATTGTTCCAAAACATTTCGTTAAAAATGTAATCTTTCCGACGAATCTATTGACATATTCTTTCGCCTTTGGGGTATAATAAGTGCTTTTATTGGCCTTCCTATGAATATCGTTGCATGCCTGTTTTAAGAACTCTCCCTATCGTCGTCTATGCTCGTTACGCGGTGGAATTAATGATATGTGCGATTGCAAAAGGAAAAAAAAGTATTGATGGTTAAGTATGCTGCTCACTGAGAGAAATCTCCCCGATGGTACCCTGGATAATTCCAAGCATGAGAGTTCGCATATTAGAGTGTCATATTTTTGTTAAGAATTAAAATTGATTAACCCAGAAGTGTTTGAGTGTTTCTTTCCAAGTCCATGCATAACTATCTTATTTACAAGAACTGTATCCTGCGTTGAGATATGAATTTGGAGACACACTAAGATATAATTAATAAATGTTTAAGCAATGATAATTGTTTTATCCCGATTAATACGACTCTGGGCAAGGAAGCTAAGCCTAATTATCATAACTGCCCACATTAACATAATCTCCATGCTTATCATAATTTATGCATATAATTTCCAAAACTTGCGCATTTTTCCAATCTTCATTTAATTTTAATTATTTTTTTATGAAAATTTCATAACCCGACATATACAACAACAGAGACCCATAGACTCACACGGAGCTCTGTTGACTCACCACACAGAGACCCATGGACTCACATAGAGACCCATAACCTCACTCGCAGAGACCCATAGACTCACACGGGGATCTGTAGACTCACCACACAGAAACCCACAGACTCACATAGAGACCCATAACCTCACTCACAGAGACCCACAGACTCACACAGACACCCAACGACTCATCAGACAGAGACCCATGGACTCACATAGAGACCCATAACCTCACTCACAGAGACCCACAGACTCACACAGACACCCAACGACTCATCAGACAGAGACCCATGAACTCACAAAGAGACCCATAACCTCACACACAGAGACCCATAGACTAATACAGACGGCTACCGGTTACTGACATTCGCAACCGGTTATCCATCTTTGTAAATAGTGTAGACTCAGTGAGTCTGAGTGCAGCGTGGACTCAGTGAGTATGTGTGCAGCGTAGATTCAGTGAGTCTGTGTACAGCGTGGGCTCACTGAGTCTGTGTGCAGCGTGGACTCAGTGAGTCTGAGTGCAGCGTAGACTCAGTGAGTCCGAGTGCAGCGGGGACTCAGTGAGTATGTGTGCAGCGTGGACTCACTGAGTCTGTGTGCAGCGTGGACTCACTGAGTCTGTGTGCAGCGTGGGCTCAGTGAGTCTGAGTGCAGCGTGGACTCAGCGAGTCTGAGTGCAGCGTGGACTCAGTGAGTCTATGTGCAGCGTGAACTCACTGAGTCTGTGTGCAGCGTGCACTCACTGAGTCTGAGTTCAGCGTGGACTCAGTGAGTCTGAGTGCAGCGTAGACTCAGTGAGTCTGAGTGCAGCGTGGACTCGGTGAGTCTGAGTGCAGCGTAGACTCAGTGAGTCTGTGTGCAGCGTAGACTCAGTGAGTCTGAGGGCAGCGTGGACTCAGTGAGTCTGTGTGCAGCGTGGACTCGGTGAGTCTGTGTGCAGCGTAGACTCAGCGAGTCTGAGTGCAGCGTGGACTCGGTGAGTCTGAGTGCAGCGTAGACTCACTGAGTCTGAGTGCAGCGTGAACTCAGTGAGTCTGTGTGCAGCGTAGACTCAGTGAGTCTGTGTGCAGCGTGGACTCGGTGAGTCTGAGTGCAGCGTGGACTCGGTGAGTCTGAGTGCAGCGTAGACTCAGTGAGTCTGTGTGCAGCGTAGACTCAGTGAGTCTGAGTGCAGCTTCGACTCAGTGAGTCTGTGTGCAGCGTAGACTCAGTGAGTCTGTGTGCAGCGTGGACTCAGTGATTCTGTGTGCAGCGTAGACTCGGTGAGTCTGAGTGCAGCGTAGACTCGGTGAGTCTGAGTGCAGCGTGGACTCGGTGAGTCTGAGTGCAGCGTGGACTCGGTGAGTCTAAGTGCAGCGTAACCTCAGTGAGTCTGTGTGCAGCGTAGACTCGGTGAGTCTGTGTGCAGCGTGGACTCAGTGAGTCTGTGTGCAGCGTAGACTCAGTGAGTCTGAGTGCAGCGTGGGCTCAGTGAGTCTGTGTGCAGCGTAGACTCAGTGAGTCTGAGTGCAGAGTGGACTCAGTGAGTCTGAGGGCAGCGTGGACTCAGTGAGTCTGTGTGCAGCGTGGACTGAGTGAGTCCGAGTGCAGCGTGGACTCAGTGAGTCTGAGTGCAGCGTGGACTCAGTGAGTCTGTGTGCAGCGTAGACTCAGTGAGTCTGAGTGCAGCGTGGACTCAGTGAGTCTGCGTGCAGCATGGACTCAGTGAGTCTGTGTGCAGCGTGGACTCAGTGAGTCTGAGTGCAGCGTAGACTCACTGAGTCTGAGTGCAGCGTGGACTCGGTGAGTCTGAGTGCAGCGTGGACTCACCCATTTGAGCAGAGACCCCTGCTTGCGTGGAGTGCACGGAGAAGGGTCGACCGGGCAGGAGCACGGGTAAGCCCTCGGCAGGGCAGCCTCAGCAGGGGCGGCCTCAGCAGGGGCAGCATTGTGGGGCAGCAATCCGGGCTCACGGCTCTGGCACGATCTCCGAGTCTCGATTTCGAGTCTGTCCCGGCTTGAGTCTCTGAGTCTGTCTTCCGTCCAATCTACGTTCCTTCAGGGGCCGTGCGATCTCAGTGCGCGCGAAGAGGCAGAGAGAGAGAGTGAATTAGGCAGGGAGAGTGAGATAAAGTGAGAGGCAGAGAGAATGTGACGGTGGGGGTGAGGGTGGGGTGGCCGTGTGAGTCGGGGCAGTTTCAACTGCGGTGGCGTGGGGCCAAAACTAGGGTTGAGCCTGAGTCTCTCTTTGAGTCTCTCTCTGTGTCCGAGCCTTTCTCTGAGTCTGAAATAAGAGACTCAGAGAGATTCATAGAAACTCGAAGTCTCTAATCTCAATCTATGTCTGAGTGTTGAGTCGCTCCTGTGTCTCTGATTCAGTGTCTGAGTCTCTGTTTGGGCGATATTTTTGTTTAATTGCATAATTAGTAAATCAATAAAACGATATGAATGATTTACATTTTACCGTGTAAGGTCCAATGTAGCAGCTCTTTTTCAGAAGCGACCTGGCTATCACAAATGATAGCCCAACTTAAGCGGCTTATCACGTGGAAATGTATAGCAGCAGCCGCATACTCTAAACGCACGTTGATTCTAAATGTGGAAAAAAATCCAAACGACCACGGGGAGAGACACGCAAACTCCAAATATACAGCAGGCGTAAGGGTCGAGATCAAACCCACGACCTCATGCATACCAGGAGAGGCAGTTAACATCTCCTAGCCACCGTGATAGTGATCAGAGAGACACGCAAACTCCAAATATACAGCAGGCGTCAGGGTCGAGATCAAACCACGACCTCCTGCATACCAGGAGAGGCAGTTAACATCTCCTAGCCACCGTGATGGTGATCAGAGAGACACGCAAACTCCAAATATACAGCAGGCGTCAGGGTCGAGATCAAACCACGACCTCCTGTAGACCAGGAGAGGCAGTTAACATCTCCTAGCCACCGCGGCGCCCCTAATAATGACACAAAAATGGTTTGGTGCCGCATGCATAGACGCAACGTAATGGGGTGTTCATCTGGCGAGTGATACAACTTCAAATGTCCCCACGACTGGTCAAGAGTGAAAACAACATTAATTTTTCTAACCGGCGTAGATGTTCCATTAGAGGGGGGTCCACGTTTCGCAAGCATAGAGAAGGGAGAGCAGAGCCACAGGCGAGGTCGCTTCCACGCAGCAGCATTACACGGCCGGTGAAAAGATGAGTGAGACCTCCACCGTCAAACCGGAGCCGATCATGAGCACACCGCCCCCTGGTATGGGAAACTTCTCCACTCTCTCCACAGCTTCTCCGTCACCAATTGGGAGTTGAGGGTGGCGGAGGGTTCGACGGCACACAGAATGCCCAGGCCGGTGCACCGTTTCTTCGTAGCGTCGTCACTTCGGCAAGGGGGGCCGTCCATAAATGACGTCACGCGATTTTGGACGATTTTTGACCCCCCCCCCCCTAGTCACACGGCGTCACAAAAATCAGACCCCCTCAAATATGACGTCACAATGCTCTGCCCCCCTCCCCCCTCAAAAATAAAACATGCTTCAAATCGCTTTAAACTATTGTCATTGTAGTGCGTATTTAATGTGGCGCTGCACTCTGATGTTGTAGGAGAAAACATTTATTAAAACGTCTATTTAATTAAGTAGAACGTGCTGTCTATATTCATTTAAAGTTGCGCATTTTGATGTGACGTCACATTTCTCAAACACTCCCCCCCCCAGGTGCGTGACGTCATTTATGGACGGCCCCAAAGGAAAACTTGTCCGGCGCGAAGGTCTGTGAACTGAGGTTTTCCAAAAAAAAAAACCTGATGCCGATGAGACTCAGCGAGACTCACGAAAAATTCTGCGCCTAGCGAGGTTGATAATAGAGGTTCGGTTTTTTGTGTGTGTTCATGTTGAGTTAGATCGCGTAAACATCATAATCGGTATATTTATTTATACCTTGCGTGGGGAATCCGATTAGCTTCGAAGCTCTTTTGTCGCGTTGATCCGTGGGCTCGTGACCCTCCCCACCCTCATGGTCCGTGGCGCGTCGTGAAGTGGTCCTGCTGCACAACAACCATCCAGAATCTGAATCTTCTTCTTCTTGGTTCTTTCGGTAAAGTCACGTAAAATGGAAATAATAAAATAATAAAAATAAAACATAATAGAATAATAATAAAATAATAAATAAAATTTTTTATAAATTAAAATAATACTTTTATTATGGGATTTGCCTGCTAGGATGCGGTATTTTACTTTAATTTGCATGGGTTTGGGTGATTTGTTCACCATCCTTGTACTTTGTTCTACTATCGTGCGTTTGTATTGTTTGTTGTTGTAACGTTCTTACCCCGACAAAGGAGCTTTATAGCTAATCGGGTTCCTCCTACTACAGTTTAAATACAAGATTCAGATTTCGATTTAAAGCTTTCGTGACTGCAGGGATTCATCTTCTTATATAAATAATAAAATAATAAAAATAAAACATAATAAAAGAATAATATTTGAACTGTAGCAGGAGGAACCCGATGAGTTATACAGCTCCTTTGTCGGGGTAAGAACGTTACAACAACAAACAATGCAAACGCACGATAGTAGAACAAAGTACAAGAATGGTGAACAAATCACCCAAACCCATACAAATTAAAGTAAAATACCGCATCCTAGCAGGCAAATCCCACTGAGGCAGTTGTGGAAAGAATGGATAGAATCTAGATCTGAAGTTTTCGTGACTGCAGGGATCCATACTTCTTGGTTCTTTCGGTAAAGTCACGTAGGTAGAAAATAAAATAAATTAAATCACGACGTTTCGATTGCAACACAAGCAATATAGTGCATTGGGCACCCTTCAGTCTTGACGTAAGCATCAACTGCAAATTGTTGAAAAAGCCTAAACTATGGATAGGGCTCAATTCTCCCCTGATTGCCAAGCAACAGTTGTTGAAATGTTGCACTGTGAGCCTCGTGCGCCTTATTGTTTGGCATTCTGCAACGTGCTGCATGCCACAGTGCCAGCCAGGATCACCATTGGGAAACAACAATGGGTAACACATGGGGTCGATGTGACACGACATGTAAGAGATGCGCTGTGGTGGTTTGCCCCTGGGATATATCACAATGTATATATGCAGGGGGAGCACCATCCTCTCCTACAAAGACTGTTGCTACTTCGTTGTCGGCAGGCTGATGGTATCATCTGCAATCAGGACCACGCTTGAAATGCATCCTGACGTACTGTGGCTGTCTTCCTGTAGTTACACGAATAACTCCCTCCTGTTGTACAGCATGCATGTTCCTGTAGGCGGCAGCATAAGGAGTGTTGTATCTTATTGCTCTGTGGACGGTTTCCATCACATCAGGTCTGCACGCACTGTTCTCAGGTACATCGATGCGCCCGGTAAGAGCTTGGTACCCCTCGATAATGTACAACTTACTGGCCATGGCGTCTGTTCTCCCCCCTCAGGAGGTTACAGAGTTCTAGTGCTATGGTATGTTTGACCATGTATGCAGAAACAATAGGTGCCACGGCCAGGGTATGTGTATGTCTTAGTTACAAAGGAAGCAGATGAACAAGCACTGTTGTAGTTGTGAATGTTGGTTGTAAAGTGTTTTTGCCTCGGTGGAATCGTCATTGAAATGTGCTTGAAGACAAAGAGGATACTGGGATAGGGCAGGTAAGGAAACTCTCCGTTATGACTACAGTTCAAGCCTTCACCAGGAAATCGCAGTTGCACAACATTATTGACAAGTTTAAGTCATTTGGCCAAGGTGGTATGCAGGCTCATGGCTATTGCCCTGACTTTGAACTCTATGTATGGCATTAGCTTTTCAGATGGAATGGGCTGATTTTGTTCAGCACTCATTGGTCGGCGTTTCTGTAGCTTCTCTCTGCTTTTTGCTCTCGTGTCCTCTTGCTGTTCTTGGCTTATTTGCGCGACGGTGCTGATGCCCCTTTCTGTTCTCTGCTCTCGTCGCATCAAGCTGTTCCTCCATCCTGTCTTCTCGGTGCACCTGCTACTTTTGTCTGTCTTTATTTCTTCTCACTTCTCGTTCCTGCTTAAGGCGTCCGCGTTTGCCGCCACCACACGCTCTCGAGTCGCTGCTACGATAGCCTCACGTTCGTTTGTCCTGCTACGCTGCTCACACTAACGTCCTGTCCTGGCCTGGCTGACTACGCTTTGTCGGAGCTGGGTGGTTGCTCGCCATGCTCATGACCTCTATAATGGGAAATCGAGGTCGTCTAATAAAACATAATTAAAAACATCTTAACTCTCACCAAAGTAGAGGTGAATACCTGAACGATGGAGACAATTGTCACAGTCTATGCATGGTGATACGTGGCGTCACCTTAACCAACCGGCCAACCAGCGTGTGTGATGGTAGATATCCTAAAAACACATTACAATATTTTTCCAATATTATTTAAGCACTGTCCCGGCAGTCCCCCAACTTATGAATGGCCGACTTACGAGCACCCGTGTTAACAAACCAGCTTCCGTGAAGTTTTTATTTTTTACCATTCGACTTTGGAACGGGAACTCGCACTTGCGAACTAAAGCATATAACTATAGTATTTTGTGACTGAACCTAGAGATGTAATGAGACGGCATCCCTGCTAAGAGAATTTGTTAGCGTGCGTGTGGGGCCTGCAATGGGAAGTCAAAGGAGGGTGTGATTCTGGCCACCCACCCCCTCATGTGCCCTGCCGGCCTTCATAGGTGCTCACAATAGGCTAAAGGTAAGTGAAAAAAAATATTTGCATGTTCATGTACTTTATTTGCACACCATCCTAACCCCAACAAACGCCAGTTGGAGTATGGGTTCAGTCATTCGACTGTATGTGTGTATGTCTTCGATATCTTGGTCACGAATTCAGCTAGAGTCGCCAAATTTAGAAACTGATCCAGGGGTGGGAAATGTATATTCTTTGGGTTTTTCGGTAAAGTCACGTAGATAGGTTCAAAGAAAAAAACTAAAAACACAAAAAAAACACGAAACACTAATAACAAAAAACACTAGTAGTATTTTTGTTTATTTTCTTTGAACCTATCTACGTGACTTTATCGAAAGACCCAAAGAATATGAATTCCTGCAGTCACGAAAGCTTTAAGTCAAGGGTGGGAAAT